CTATCGCAGCCTCCTTGTTGCGGAGCACAGGCTCCGGACGCGCAGGCTCAGCGGCCATGGCTCACGGGCCTCGTGGCTCCACGGCACGTGGGATCCTCCCAGACCAGGGCTCGAACCCGTGTCCCCTGCACCTCAACCACTGCGCCACCAGGGAGGCCCTGACCCAAGATTTTAAAGGGAGATAACAGAAAGGGAGAAGGAGACCCAGGGCCTGGGAACACCCACGTTTAGGGGGAGGAGCCAGTGGGGAGGCTGTGGAGGAACATGCAGCCTCAGTGAGTAGTGTCTCTGCCTGACCTTGGCTGCGTTGTTGATTCTCTCTGATCTGTAAAATGGGAGAAGCACACCTGTTATCATATTCTGTGCAGATTACGGGAAACACATGAAGCCTGTTGCACACTGCACGGTGTTTGGCACATAGCACGTGCTTAATCCCAGTGTCCTCCCTCTCTGCACTGCCCTTCCCACCTCACTCCCCCCACCCCCATTTCATTTAAGTGACTGGCACTCGAACAGAGCCTCTCCCTTCTTAAATTGTAACTGAACTGTTGTTGCTGTTTTTTTTCTTCATCTTTACCCAAACCGCCTTCATCTTCTCCTTCTAGAAGAAGCACAGTCTTTGCGTGACTAATTATTTGAACCGGAGATACCCTCCGTTATAAAGGAAGGAAATAATAAATTTGTTTCCTAAGGATCTCTTAGCTGAAGATGGCTATTACCTCATTTGATCCTTCCAAGCTGCTCTGCAAGGTTGGGGAGGGCAGTTATTGTCAGGCCTTTTTGTCCCCCTGAAAAATGGAAGAAAGCTTGTAAAAAGTTTGATTATTATGTTTGAGAACCAACCACATGTCTAGCGGTACCCTCTAGTTCATAGATTTACAAACTTTGGAAATCTTTTCTGCCCTTTATTTTTTGGAAATAAATTTTACCAGGAGTCAAATCAGATACAGGCAACCGAGTTCTGGTTTCAGTGGAATCAGGAGGCTCTGATTCTCGATCGCTGGGCTCTGCTCCTACTGCTGGTCCCCAGGCCAGGCTGGGAAATGGGGCTGTGCTTCTGGGATTGCCCCGCACCCAGAGCCTCTGTCTCTACACTCAGCTTCTTTCCCCTCCTTTTCAGCCACAAACTTCCTGACTTTGAAGGCCTGGCTGGAGCCCAAGAAGGCTTCACAGACCCCTGGGTATGCCCATCATGCAGGTTAAGTGTTGTCTCTGGTGGTGATGCTGCCTGGAGCATGAACCAGCTGAGCAGGACCAGCAGGCGCTCAGACACGGAAGGTCTGGGGTGCTGTCTCTGGTCAGACACGATCAACAGCCACTCCTGGTGTCCCTGGTCCCAGGAACCACCCCGGCTGTTAGGCCGGCGTGCTCTGCATACTCAATGTGCTTTGAGTCCTTATTTCCTTTTTGAATGTGTTTCTTGAAAAACAAACCCTTTGAGGTCAGAAAACAGTTTATGGTTTTCAGAACGGTGATTGGAAGTAAACAAATAGTGTAACCTGTTCTGCAGATAGTTATATAAAGCTGAGAAAGAGCCACAAATAATGTACTCTCACTGCAGTACTGTTTATCATCCTGTTCAAAGCAGCCACCTGTAGGATTCATTTCTTTGAGTGCTATCATTTCCCCAAAGAGATAAGCATAAAAAATGATTAAAAGAATTACATGTGATTTTTGCTTTTAAAATAAAATCTTGGTAGGTTAGCATCCTAGTCTTATAGCTGTTACTTATTTTTTCCACTGATTTATTTATTTGCATTAGAAAGGTAATACACACTAATGGTAAAAACAGAAATGCAAATCTTTCTGAAGGGTGTAAAATGAAAAGTAGAAGTCCCCTCTCATTACCCAATCTTACTCCCCTGAGACGATCAAAGTTAATGGTTTCTTATGACCCAGAAAGTTTTTATGTTGTGTGTGTGTATATACATCTAATATTTTAACACAAATGGCCTAGTTCTGTGATTATTTTTCCCACTTAAATATATATCTTGGCATACAGGTCTATCTCAGTCTTTTAAATGATTGTCTAGCTCTGGCATTTCATTGAATATTTTATATAATATTCCCATATTTAGGTTGTTTCCAGTTTTTTCCCCTTATAAACTGCTATAATAAGCATCTTTGTATATATTGTTGCATACTTGTATATATGCTAGTGTGTATGTAAGATAAATTCCTAGCAGTGGAGTTAGGTGAAAGCACGTGTACATAAATTAAAAAAAATTTGTTCTGCACTCCTTAAGACATATGAGAAGACATAAAGAATAAAAACAGCTTAAAAACATTGTTAACACACATAAATTCTCCTTTGTACAAGCCTGATCGCCATCCCTCTTGTTCTACCCCAAGGATGCCAGGATCCTAAATTTGGTATTTATTGTTCCCATGCAATGCTTTGAATGTTTTCATTTATTTATTTTTTAATTAATTAACTTATTCGGCTGCAACGGGTCTTAGTTGCGGCACATGGGCTCTTCGTTGCCGTGTGCAGGCCTCAGATCACACGGGTTCAGTAGTTGCGGTGTGTGGGCTCTAGAGCGCGTGGGCTCAGTAGTTGTGGCGTGCAGCTTAGTTGCCCCGCGGCATGTGGGATCTTAGTTCCCCGACCAGGGATCGAACCCACGTCCCCTGCACTGGAAGGTGGATTCTTAACCACTGGACCACCAGGGACGTCCCTGAATGTTTTTACTTTTACATAAGTAGTACTTTGCTGTATATATTCTTCTGATACTTGCCTCTTTTCCTCAGTATTATATTTCTGGGAGTCTTCCATGCTGATACCATTTCAGTACTGAAAAGAATACCAAGTTATTCTTTTCAGTACCAAATAACTTCAGATTATATGAATACACCACAAATTATATATCCATTTCCTGGTTAATGGACATTAAAGGTGTACCAGTTTTTTTTCTGTTACCAACAGTGCACCGGTGAACATTCTTGTGTATCTCTCTTGATTGTATATGTCTGGGGATTTCTCTAGGGTATTTGCCTATGAGGGAAAGGCTGTTCACAGAATATGAGAATCTTCAATGATATTAGACATTGTTCTCCAAAGTGGTTTTCCACTCTCACTGCAGTCAGTTACTGGACATCCTCACCAATACACTTGGTATTGTCCAATCATTTAATTTTGCCAGTTTGATGTGAAATGCTTCTTGTGGTTTTCGTTCACATTTCTTGGATTACTCATGAGGTTGGGTGTCTTTTCATGTATTTTGTGGCCATGCATGTTTCCTCTCGTGTGAATTGCCTTTACCCATTTTTTTCCTGTTGGGAGTGTTTGTCCTTTGTGATCTTTGGTGGCCTCGGCCTTTAGCGGCTTGAAGCAGGATTTCGGTTACCCAGCCAGAGACTGAAGTCAGGTGGAGGCAGTGAGAGCGCTGAATCCTAATAACTAGATCAGTGGCCAGTGACAAGGCCCTGGCCCATAGGTTTTGTAGAGATGAATTTCCTCAAAGAGACGGAAAGTAGTGAAACAAGTAAAGTGTTTATTAGGAGGAAAAAGGGTACGTGTGGATACACAGGGGCGGGCTCAGAGAGAGAGTCACGCCCTCGTGGTAGTTTGAATCACTTGTATAGGGCATTTCTTCCGGGTTTCCTCTGGCCAGTCATCTTGCTTTGCCTGGCGCTGAGTCCGTATTTGGTTTATCTTAGGGTCCTCCTGTGTGCGCGCATGGGCATCTCTTAGCCAAGATGGATTCTAGCGAGGAGGCCTATGGGTAGGTTGACATCGCCTACTATGGGGTGGTGCCCCCTCCCATTTTGACCCCTGAGGAGCCTTTCTGCGCATGTGTAGTCAGTAAGGTCTCCTTGACCTCAAGAATGAGAAATACGTGGTCTCTTTATCTTTTATCTGGGCAGAACTCAGCTCCTCTTTGCCTCTGCCATTACTGTTATCTTAAAGTGTCCACCGGAGGCAAAGTCCAGATATTTACTCTATTCCTGTTGTCATTTTTATCAGGAAGCATAAACAGGAGGCTGGCTGTAAATGTCTAACCTGGAGCCCATCTATCTCCTGCCTCACTTTCCTTATTGATTTATAGAATTTCATTGTATGTTGTGCTTACTGGTCTGTTATGGGTTAAATAATACCTTCTCCCAATTGTTGATTCTCTTTTCACTTTTCTTACATTATATTTTTAAATTTTTATTTTTTATAATTAATTTTTATTGGAATATAGTTGACTTACAATGTTGTGTTAGTTTCTGCTGTACAGCAAAGTGAGTCAGTTATACATATACATATATCCACTTTTTTAGATTCTATTCCCATATAGGTCATTACTTAGCATTAAGTAGAGTTCCCTGTGCTATACAATAGGCTCTTATTAGTCATCTATTTTATATATAGTACTGTGTATATGTCAATCCCAATCTCCCAATTTACCCCTCCTGTCCCCCACTTCCCTCTGGCAACCATAAGTTTATTTTCTACATCTGTGACTCCATTTCTGTTTTGTAAGTAGCTTCAAATGTACCATTGTTTTAGATTTCACATATAAGCGATTTCATATAATATTTGTCTTTGTCTGACTTACTTCACTCAGTATGACAGTCTCTAGGTCCATCCATGTTGCTGCAAATGGCATTATTTCATTCTTTCTGTGGCTGAATAATATTCCAGTTTATATGTATACCACATCTTCTTTATCCATTCCTCCGTCGATGGACATTTAGGTTGCTTCCATGTCCTGGCTATTGTAAATAGTGCTGCAGTGAACATTGAGGTACATGTATCTTTTCAAATTATGGTTTTCTCCAGATGTATGCCCAGGAGTGGGATTGCTGGGTCATATGGTAGCTCTATTTTTAGTCTTTAAAGAAACCTCCATACTGTTCTCCACAGTGGCTGTACCAATTTACATTCCCACCAACAGTGTAGGAGGGTTCCTTTTTTTCCACACCCTCTCCAGCATTTACTGTTCGTAGATTAAAAAAATATATATTTATTTATTTAGCTGCACCGTGTCTTAGTTGTGGCATGCGGGATCTAGTTCCCTGACCAGGGATCGAACCCGGGCCCCCCGGCATTGGGAGCCTGGAGTCTTAACCACTGGACCACCAGGGAAGTCCCATATTGTTTGTAGAGTTTTTGATGATGGCCATTCTGACCAGTGGAAGGTGATACCTCATTTGCATTTCTCTGATAATTAGTGATGTTGAGCATCTTTTCATGTGCCTCTTGGCCATCTATATGTCTTCTTTGGAGAAATGTCTATTTCTTTTCGCTTTTCAAATGGGTGACTGAATGAACAAAAGCTGAACTAATGTAGTTGTTTTGTATTTAAATTTTTGATAGTGTTAATTGCCCAGCTTAGACTTCCGTCAAAGGTGTATAAGAATGCCTGTTTTTCGACATTGCTGCCCAACACTGGGCATTATCGGTTTTAATTTTTATTAATCTGATACCTGAAAAATGGTGCCTCATGGTTTTGATTTGTCTTAATTATGAGTAAGCCTGAACATATTTTCACAGGAAATATGAAATATGTTTTCACAAGAACACATTTTTCTGTTCTTATTCTTCATTTCTTCTATTGGGTAGTTTGCTTTTTCTTAATTGACTTTCCTAATGGATTTGTAAGTGTTTCTGAACATTAAATTTGCCTGTTCTGCCATGTGTGTGCGTATATGTTGTACACATAGCCCTTCACTGCGGCCCCACTGGATTAGGGAAACTTTAGCCTCTATACCACATTTACCCTCTTTGGCCCTTGAACACTTGGCCACATTGAGCAATAAAGTAAAAAGTTGCAATCGGAGGCTGTGGGGACGGCAGAGGGAGGAGTGTTGTTCTGTGTAAGTGGGAGCAGCTGAGGTAGGGAGTGCGCGTGTGCGTTGTGGACGGCCATCTGATATTGAGGCGGTTATAAAAATGGAGGCTGGGGAGAGAGTTTGAGTTGGGGTGACGGTGATGTGGCCTGCGCTCTTAAGAAGTAGAATGTTACTAATGCCTGGATGAGTAAGTCTGAGGTGTCTTGGGTAGCTTGGCTACTCTTGGCTGGCAGTGAGAGTAGGGGATTGAATAGTTCTGAGGGTCCAGATGTGCCAGGCACATAGCCTGATGGGAGGCGTTACTGGGTGGGGAAATGGAAGCTTGAGAAAGCTGATTTGCTCCAGGTCACTAGGCTGTAAGTGGCCAAGCTGGGTCTCAGCTCGGGACTAGCTCCCTCCCCAGGCCAGGTCTGTGCAGTAATACTAATGGTTCTACCATGATTAGGCTCAATTAGGGGAGGACTCAGCTTTTATAAAGAGATTTGTCAGGAGAACCTTCTAACAAGAGCATAAAATTAGGACATATTTTAAATAGATTGCCATATCAACAGTGAAATTTCACATTTCTATCTTTTAATGTTAGTAATTGGCTTAAGTAGTCCTTCCAGGAGAACACAGGTAAATGAACAGTAATTATAATTGGACTCTATTGAAAAAGATCAGTCATCTTAATAGTCCTGTTCACTCCTGAAAGGATGTTCAACACAGGAAACCAGCCATGAATCTATTTTCCCCTTCTTGCATTTGGTAGAATTGGATGACACTAGACTTTCTCTTCACTCATTTTTTCACTCAACAACTCTTCACTAAGTGCTCACTTTGTGCCGATTTGCTGAGAGCTGAGAGAGTGGTGAACAGAACTGACTCAGGTCCTGCCCTCAGGGAGCCTAGAGTCTAGTGGAGAAGATAATAAACAAGTAAACAAACAAATGAAATACTTAACGGCTGTCATCAGTGCTGTGAAGGACATTTGCAGGTACCGTGACACAGAATAATATGGGAACCACCTTTAGATGGGGGGAGCCCGGGAATGTCACATACATTTTGTGGGTGATTGGGTACTAACATTTAATTTTTGGTTAAAAATCCCTCCTGTAATCAGCCTGCCTCTCAACAGTTTTCTTTTAGCACAGGAGAAACAGCAGCACTCTATGAAGATGAAAAGCAGGACATGGAATGATTTCTTCTGGGGGCTACAAAACTAAGACAATGACGAGGCTCCCTGGACAGGGTCTCCTGCTTAGGTCTTCTGAAGGGAAGTACCATGCACCCCCCTAGCGCAGTCTTTTCTTACTATCTGGGTGTGAATCGTGATTTTTAATGGAAATCTCTTCCTTGAGGTAAATAACTACCACCCATCTCTTTCTGTTTTTGCGGTACGCTGGCCTCTCACTGTTGTGGCCTCTCCCGTTGCGGAGCACAGGCTCCGGACGCGCAGGCTCCAGACGCGCAGGCCCAGCGGCCATGGCTCACGGGCCCAGCTGCTCTGCGGCATGTGGGAGGAAGATCTTCCCGGATCGGGGCACGAACCTGTGTCCTCTGCATCAGCAGGCGGACTCTCAACCACTGCGCCACCAGGGAAGCCCACTACCACCCATCTTTAATGGGAGGACCTGAAAGCATCTAAGGAGAATACAAATTCCAGAGTCTGTCTAGAAATAACATGAAAAATTCCTCTCCTGAGTTTGCTGCCCTTCAATAAAGCCGCTTCCTCCAAGCGCATCTGGAAGGTTTGGTTTCTGCTCCCCACCCCTTGCTCCCCTTCCCACCTGCCAGCCCACCAAGGGCCAAGCAGCAGCACACGGCTTAACCGTCTTCTTGGCCCAGAAGAAGTCTCTGCCAAGCAGAAGTTTCCTCAGTTCATAAACACTTTCATTTTGGTTGTTTGAGCCATGATGAGAGCACCAGGTTTTCAAGGATATAATTTGATGATTGTGATTAGGATTCACCACCCATCTCCCAGGACTTTTTTAGAGAATTTTAGTTGGTGTGTTTTCCCTTTAGTTATGTGTATGTAGAATTTGGATGACATTAAACTTTCTCTTCACTCACTCACTCAGCAACTGTTTACTAAATGCACACTTTGTGCCATTTTGTTAAGAGCTGAGAGAGTGGTGACCAGAAGAGACCCAGGTCCTGCCCTCATGGGCAAAACACCATTAATCAAACCACCATCCTTAAGCAAAACACCATTAATTAACACACCTAAACAAATTAACGATAATTCTTTGGATTCACCTAAATCCTCAGTCCACATTCAATTTTCTGGTCTTTTATTTGGCCTGGAAGAGGGCCTCTCTTTCTAGCCAATTAAAAAAAAATTCTTAGTGTTGCTTCGCTTTCTTCCTATTCCCTCTTCCTAAGCAAAGTAACGTATAGCTCTAGACGATTTCCAGGTATTTGGTCACCTGTGGGAGAGATTTCACTTTTCAGGGAGAGGGAATAAAAGTAACCTGAGTCGGACGTGCACGCGATGGAAATCAAATCCTTGCCGCCATTAAACTGGTGTTTGGGGTCCATCTTGTGGCCAGAAGGTTTTTAACACAAACCTGGACTCCCAGTTGCCCTCTCGTGGCAACAGGCAGCATGACACCCTAGGAACCTTTCCCTGCCTTGTGTAGGATTACAGAAGTAAAGATACAGATGAGGAAGGGAGTTAAGAGTTAACTTTTAACTTAACACCCATAAAGCAGATAGGACTCAGAGATGAGCCAGGAGAGTGCCAACACGGGCATGGCATTTGCAATTGCTGCCTGCTGCCCTGCAGGATATTTAAGCAAACCCCAAATATGAAAATCCAAATTTACAATTTTGTGTGGCTGCGGTATGAGTATATGACATATTCTCAATTATTATTTTTGGATCATTATCCTGTGTCTGAATCACAGAATTTTAGAGCTGGAAAAGATCTTAGAAATTAGTCAACAAAATTGTGTTGAATTTTTACTATTAGCCTGTGTACTAAGTGCTGTTAGAGACCTAAGGTGCTTTAGATACGTATAAACCCTCTCCTCAAGGACTTCAATGTGTAGAGGTAAAGACAGATAAATGAACAGGTAAATGCCACGTAGTATGCAGTGACAGTGGGAAACCATGCTTGCTGTAGGACAGAGATGTGGAATGGCCACTTCTACCTGGAGGTCAGGGAAGGCTTGAAAGAGAGGAGGTAGCACCGGACTTGTGTCTTGCAGAAGTGGGAGTTTTCCAGGTGGGCTGGGTGAGGGTGGAGATAGAAGAGGGAGGCCTGGGCAGTTGGAAAGCACACGCAGGGAGGCGGGACATTGCATTGGGTGTCCATATTTGCAGTAGCAAATATGGCTGTAGCATGGGGTGGGAGGTACATAGTAGATGCTCCATAAATCCTTGCTGAATGAATGAATGAGAGAATGAATGACGATGACGGGAGTGGTGAGAGAGGAGGGTGAAGAGGTTATGTGGGGGACAGACCATATAAACATTAGGGAATATGTTCCATAATTATGTCCCATAATTCATAAGGAATATGAACATTATGCTGGAAGAGGTGAGGGAGGGTGGGGCAGGGACCACTGAAGTGCTTAAGCAGTGCAGCTGCAGGATCAGATTGATGTTTTAAAAATAATTTGGCGAGGACTTCCCTGGTGACGCAGTGGTTAAGAATCTACCTGCCAATACAGGGGACATGGGTTCGAGCCCTGGTCCAGGAAGGTCCCACATGCCGCAGAGCAACTTAGCCTGTGCACCACAACTACTGAAGCCTGCGCTCTAGAGCCTGGGAGCCACAACTGCTGAGCCCATGTGCCACAACTACTGAAGCCTGCGTGCCTAGAGCCCGTGCTCTGCAAGAGAGAAGCCACCTCAAGGAAGAGTAGCCCCCCGCTCGTGGCAGCTAGAGGAAACCCGAGCGCAGTAACGAAGGCCCAATGCAGCCATAAATAAATAAATAAATAAACAAATAAATAAATAAATAATTTGGCTAGAGAATTCCCTGGTGGTCCAGTGGTTAGGGCTCCATGCTTCCCCTGCAGTGGGCACCAGTTTGATCCCCGGTCAGGGAACTAGAGCCCGCATGCCACAACTAAAGATCCTTCATGCTGCAATGAAGATCCCGCACACAGTAACGAAGACCTGGTGCGGCCAAAAAAATAAATAAATATTAAAAAATAATAATTTGGTTAGCAGTGAGAAGGAAGCAGAGAACTAATTAGCAGGCTACTTTAATAATTTGATGAATGATAAGGGCCTGAGATGGTGGAAGTGGAACATTGAGGAAGGAATGGATTTAAGTACTATTTATTATTTTTATTTTAAATT